TATCGGCTGATTACAAACACTGTATATAGTCCAACAGAAATTTTGTTGTAGTGAGTGATGTATGATTATGTATGAATATACTTCAACAAACCACAAAGCTTAAACGGAACAAGCAAAGAACGTTCACACAAAAGACTTCAGTACCTTTATTTCTCTGTGTCGTTGTCTACGTTTATTGTTATGTCGCAAGCAAGAAGCAAACTTGACAAAACCGCGCGACACTGAGGTCTCCCTTACCTGCAGTTTTGAATGTGGTGCTGGCTAGAAAAATCAGAGTTGAGTGATTAGACCATAATATAGAAACGGTTCTATCTGGATCACATTTTTAATTAGTAGTTTCATATTTGCTTTCGGTTTTTTTCAGAGAGTCTGGAAGAGTTTGTGAAAGATGAAGCCTACGAGGTGAATTCTTGCTTATGTTGTAGTTAAGCCATGTCTTGGGAAACGATACAAAAAGCAAGGTCACTGACTTAGTTCATAAGCCGGGCTCTTACAGCCAAAGGTGATCACTATGTGTATTTCACGAACGTATCGTTGACAGGGGGGTCCGAAGTGAATATGCGCCCTTCTTGCCTAAAACAAAGTGAGGGAACGCCTAAATAAGAGGCAAAAATTTGTTACTCTCCTGGCCTAACATTTAGCACTGGGATATAGGCAGCGGGTAGGGCGTCTATTCCCCGGCCCCCGGAATAAGCTCTTGGGTTCTCCATTGATTGTACCATAACTTTACTTAAAACCGAGTAATAGAGGCATTTTAGCAAGCAATTTTAATTCTAGAGCGCGCTTTCCTATATGTTTTTTTTTATATATTTTCCTTTTATTGGTTCGTTTTGAGTATACGCATGTAAGTTATCCTAGACTCTCATTTCTCCTGTTTGGGTTTAACCCCTATATAGCGCGGAGAAGAACGGACTGTTTCACAGTGTGTGAATCGTGACAGACAGTTGGAGAGTACCCCTGTAAAAATGAGAGATAAAATCCTCACTCGATTGAATATAGCCACATTGCTAACGTACAATTGAGCTCGAGAAAATGTGATATAAAATCCTCAATAAGTCTAGGCTATATCGTGATTCTGAACCATGACCCTTGTAATTCCGATGCAAAAGCCTGAAAAATGCAAGATCCAACGAGCCATGATTTCTTGATATACCACCACATTCTCAGAATTAACTTTAAAAGGAAATGGATTTCGATTAGCCTTAGAGAATCACTATACTGATGTGGTTAATTAGAGGTTAACTCTGCTTTACCCACAAAACATTACAACATTTACATTTATTTGTAATTTTTTTTTTGTCAAATACTTTATCCGCAGGTTTTATGTCCCGTTCAGAGAAAGAGTGCAAACTTTGTAAGACAAATCTGTAATCAGGCGAAAACCCATTTTTCACGCCATCAGTAAAGAGAACGTAAGAGCGCAAAATTTTGGTCCAATCGATCGTAAGCTTGGAAAGACAGGCTTCAGAAGTCTTTTGCAGGGTTATCATGTTCTATAGGCCATTCCTGAGTTAACTTTTCCTCTGTTTCAAACGATTTCTCGTGCAAAACCTTCATATGAAAATGAGTTTGATATGTATGGAAATTAAATTGACCTGTAGACGGAACACATTTTCATATGAAAGGTCTCGCATGGAGAAAAACGCAAAATGGCATGGAGACAGAGAAAAAAGGCAAACTCGAAAATGGTCTACCTATCCTAGTTCGTAATGTCACCAGTAGAAGACAATACAGTGCTATTTCAAGACAGTATAATTCAAACTATTGGAGGGGGGGGGGGTGGGGGATTGGTTTTAAAACCCCTTTGATGAAAGCACTATCCAGGCTTTGTTTTAGCCCTCCAGCCCTCCAGTTAATTTTGAACTCATGGACACCTTACTCCAGAGCCATATAGTCGTTGTCACTCATACTTACTCTGTTTCATCTGCAGACGGCACCAGGCGAGTTTGTGATGAAGCTGATCAGGTAAAACCGTATAATATGTTCAAATATTGTCTGCTTATATGACGGTCTTCAAAGCCTACGTTATTTGTGCTGGGTCAGTCGTTTAGTTCAGTTATTTGGTTGAGAATTTACTGCACCTATCATCGAGGGTTACTGACAAAACTTAGGAAAACATGATTGACCATCGCAATTATAAACCAAGTTAAGCAGCTGTCAAGCCTGAAAAAAATTCAGGCTTGAACGGGATTCGAACCCATGTCCTTTGCGATAACGGTGCAGTGCTCTACCAACTGCGCTATCAAGCCAACTGGGAGCTGGTCACGTTGAGAGTTCGTAATATACCCGTCTGTGGTGAAGATACAAGTGAATATATGAAAGATCATATACTTTGAACTGTGGAGAAAGATATATAGAAGTCATGATTGATCATCGCAGTTACATACACAACTTTAAGCAGCTGTGAAATTAAAGCCTAAAACAAATTCAGGCCTGAGCGGGATTCGAACCCATGAGCTCTGCGATACCGGTGCAGCACTCTACCAACTGAGCTATCAAGCCAACTGGGAGCTGGCAACGTTGTAAGTTCCTAATATACTCGTATGTGGTGAAGGCACAAAAGAATATATGAAAGATCATATACTTTGAACTGTGGAGAAAGATATATAGACATGACTGATCATCGCAGTTATATACAGCTGTGAACCACACACAAATTCCGAAGGGGGGCGGGGGGGGGATTAACCTTCCATGTCTTCAGTTGCCCACCATGGCAGAATAATGACAATTGAAGTTTCTTCCCTTAAATTAAACGTGCGTCCTGTTCACTTCCAGAGTTTTAACAGATAAGGGTGATCCTGACTTCTGTGTAGTAGCTTCTGGAGGTCAAAGTTTGGATCCAAATTTACTGGACAAAACGGACGGTAGGTTGTTGTTTTACTTTCTGTACTCACCCTCCCTTAGTGTAACATGAGTTAAATAATCACCAGATTCCAGCTTAGCTAATTAGCTTGAACGTGTGTGTTCATATTCACCGGAGCCAGGGATACATAAGCAGATCTTGGAATTTTGATTTTTTTGCAGTTTTCCTGTTGGAAACTCCTGAGCGTCTGATTGTGTGGATTGGTGACCAAGCCAGCTCTTGTGAAAAGCAAAATGCTTTATCCTATGCACAAGTAAGTTGTAGAACGGGTTTTCATAGAACTAATCTAAGCGATCTAAGCAAATTACACCCACTGCGCAAACAAATTTGTACCCTTTTAATTGTTTCAATTACAACTGCTATTGATCAATTTGCACAAAATTGCTCGGGTGATCTTGGTTGAAGATTTCGCACTGCAAGTGTTTGTCAGTTTCAATTCAAAGTTAGGGATTGGCAAGGTTTGCTCCCAAGAGTCGCGTTTGCGGTCATATTCAACATCTATTGCCACCTTTCAACCGAAAAGCACTCCTTAAGTGTCCCTGATTGAATCGAGGTAGCTGGCGTTTTAGAGAGGTGCCTTATACGTGACTAAGAGAGTACAGTGGAGACCAACTCTAGATGTTCGTGTTAAAGATTTTTAAGTCGTAATGAAATGTCTGTTAAGAGATAGTTAAGTTTTCTCCTTGCCTATGAAGACTACCATGAAAGCCCAAATAAACACATTATTTTTTAATGTTATTAACATCTTGTTTACAGACTTATCTGAGAAAATATGGCCAGAATCCCATCTGCGGCATTTCGTGCATGCGAGAAAACAACGGAAAATTACCAAAATCATTTGCAAGAGCTGTAGGCCAGCACAAAGGTAAAGAATTCTCAAATCTATAACAACAAACGTACGAACAGGAGACCAGGGAATAGTTTTCTAGTATACTGCAAAGCTCCTAAAATAACGACTTTCTTTCGGAAGTCTCGCTTTGCAGGGGCATGGCCGTGATGGTTAACACCGAAATGAGTGGAACCATCGTACACTACTAAGAGTGTTTTGATAATGTTTTATCCTTAGATTTTGGTGCACAGCTTCTTGCATCAGTTATATCCATTTCATCTTTTAAAGAACTGAGTTTTTAAATCGTGGCAATTACGTTTTAGGTCGCCCGATCAGAACCCCACATTTAGAGAAGGCTAGATTCCCGAGTGTAACGTATACCAATAACGGCGATATGTTATGCCTACTTCTGGGTCGTTATTTCCCTCCAGAACTTAAGGAAATCGGTCCTGGTTTGACAAAACATACCTGTATAGAACATAAAGATCCAAACTTACTACGAATTCCTTGGACATCCTGCGAAGCTGTATGTCTCCCACGCACCTGACGCTCCAACGCGCCCTTTTAGCTCCAAACCACACCTCCATCTCAATACAAGCATCTCGCCCAGAACGTTATCTTACCTCGAATGCAGTTCCTGTCAACAGGCAAAGGCACAACCTACCTCTCCCTTTACAATTAGCAAGCTCAAAGCGAGCTCTCAGTTCTCGGCCTACATGCATTTCTCGGCCTTCATGCATCCCTCATTTACTTGCCCAAAGTGGTAGTTTGTAAAATTGTTGGTCCTCACTCTTATTCTAAGAGTCTGCCCAGCGTGCTCTTTTTCACCCACCCCTATTTAACTCCCTAACGATAACGGTGCCTTTACGGGAATGGCTTCAGTTAACCCGATGACTTTATTTTTCTCCAGGTGACCGTGGCGCGCAGGACCATCGCATGTAGACTGCGTTGATAACATGTCTTGCAAAGAATTTGCCTTCGAGAATTCTTTAACAACACCAACAAAGACACGCTTCATTACTGTTTTACACATTTAGTTTACAACGTAACGTATTACATAAAAATGTAGTTTTTATACCATGTGATATTACACATGTGTAAGGTTTTTGGATTTATACCAGATGACAGCTTGAGCTTAGTAGGGGGTCCTTAGTATAAAGTTGATAAGACAAATGCTTCCATAGTGATAGGTAATTAGCTTTTTTGAACGAACAAAGGTAGCCGATTGGCTCACTAGAATTACCAAGTTATCAATTTGAAACTGGAGACGTTGTGATACTGAGAAATTCTTTCTGTCATAGTTTTGTTCTACTGCACTTTGCGGATCCAGTAAAAAAGTACATTTCAGTTTGCTCCTGAGCACATCAATGAACCAGGTTTCATTTTTTTAATGGGTTTCGACCAACTGAGCTAGGTCTATTCTTATCAAAATCCTGTCCATTGTACAAGTAAGTTTAAATTATTGGTTATTTCAAGCGGCACCGCTCAATATTAAAGGGAATTTGTTTCTCTGCTGTTAAGTTATTAGCTCAAAAATATAAAACGCAGTCTTTGATTTAGTGGTTATCAGTTTTTTACTTTGTTGAGGAAGTGTCATGTCTGTTTTGACACTTAATTGGAGAGAGGCACTGTGAGAGCAAAATGTCTTTCTCAAGCACACATTACAGTGACTGAGAGCCTATGCAGCATCCCAAGTATTAGGTCAGCTGTATATACAGCCTGAAATGTCCCGCTTCGTCCGCCACTGTTTATAGGCCACCAGGCATTCTACCAGTCCTATTCCCTGATATCTGTGAAGAACGTGTGTTTACTGCGCTTTTCAATAACATGCGGACTCTAAAATTCAATGCTCAACCGGCAAATGCGTTTTTCGCTACCGTCAATCAAATGTTCGGCGACTCCTCCCAGCTTCCGACTACGACCGACGCGCGGTAATCAAATCGTTGAGCACAGTTCAGATAACGAAACAGTGCTCGGTAGTAGTCGGTGGATTCCGCCGTAGGAAAAAAAGAGGGCGGCTGTACATTTTGCCACAATGCCCTGCGAGTCTAACACAGCCTATAAGGCACAAAGAAAGCCAATTTTTTTTACAATATTCGTCCCTGTTCCAAGGACATTAAGTAGCCTAGGTTTGAAGATTGTTTCTGTACGTTTTTATGAACGTTGTTACGGTTTTCGTGCGCTAAAAGCTATGGGTAAATGTACCAGTCGCCATCTTTTTTCCTACAGAGGATTGGATAAAGATTATTCTGATTTGATAATGTCAGTGATGTGCTACAAAGTTCCGCAACCTCAAATCAACTTCCTTACTCAAATTCATCAATTGTATTCATGTCTGCAAAGTTAAACAGATGATTTCATAACCTTTCGGTGTTATTCAGCTCAAAATTTTACTATTTTAGTTATTCGTCTTTTTTTCTTAGTACAAGTTTCAATCAATCACTCCACGCAGTTTTTCAAATCATTTCCAAACACCTCAAAGTTGGGGAAAAAACATTTGGCGAATTGTCTTAGCTTTCTTTCTGCTGTCTCCGTGTGGTGAAGTACTGTCTCTCAGTCCAGTGTGATATATTTCGTTCTNGAACATTTGCCGAATTGTCTTAGCTTAATTTCTGCTGTCTCCGTGTGATGAATTACTTTCTCTCAGTCCAGTGTGATATGGTCTGATATATTACGTTCTATAACTGCCATGTGTGATTCATTACGTCCAATACCAAGCCAACCTGACTAGAAAAACTAAAAGGTTTTAAAAAAAGAATAACTCAGACAAAGGCCAGACAATGGAATAGGAAATTCGTCATTACACCAGCACGTTTACGTAAAGTTCCCTGAGTAACAGACCTAGGAAACAAATTGTTTCACAATTTTGCTTTATTGTCCTGAGAGTGTTTAGAAATACATTTATATCTCCATGCATAGCTTTAAATTTACACTGATAACATGGGTATTGATGCGTCTATAGTGCTCAGTGAACGAACTCGTATAGTGTTGATAATAATTCGCTGATCTGTCAGGCTTTTACAAGTCCATAGTCGGAATTTTGCACGAGCCTTGACGCTAAGAGCTCTTTGTAAGAATGAATTCGAGTTGCTCTAAAAAAAATCATTTGGGCAGTCACAGATCACATACGAAATAAAGTTTTGTCCCTCCCAGCTGTGTAGTGTAAACTCCCTGAGACAAGCTCGTTCTGAGACAACCCAGAAATAGGACAAAAAACACAAAATTTTGGGGTCACTTGCCTTTTATTTCTTTTCAAAATAGATTCTTAAGCCAATTGAAATGGCGTTGAAAAACCTATTGCACAGTTCCTTGGAACATTGTGATATTCACCTCACTGAAACTTTTCACGTTTACACCGAGAACAGAAAAAAAATTATAATAGTATTTTTTTCTAGGCGAAGGCCAGATAATAAAAATGTAAAACACAAAACGTGAAACACGATTAATGTAATTACATTACACCCGGCACGTTTTATGTATAATTTCCCCGTATAACAGGGCTTTAACTCTTGGAAACAAACTGTTTTACAATTTTGTCTTGTCCCTTGAGTTTTAAGAAATATATATATCTATACTTTCAATGCTAGACTGTTTATATTCGTACTAATGTATTCATTTTAGCTATTTTAGTGTCCAGCGAGCTCGAACAATCTAAATAATATAATGAAAAAATAAACTTCTCACATCTCTATATTAAGAGTAAAGAGTTTCTTTTTAGTCATAATCCTTGGTTGTTACGATTAAACCTTTCCTGCTTTACGTGTCAATGAAATTAATTCTTAGAAGGATAACAATTAATGCTATTTACAATAAAGTTGATTATCTAAGGCGTGGCTTCTAGCACAATCTATGTCAGTTTGATAATTGCTGTAATATCAATATATTTCAAAACGACTAAGAGCTAGGTTTGCAACTTGCGTCCTGCTAAACTTTTGATAGGCTTACGCGTATTAAATTATAAGCATACTTCGCAAATTCAAACCTAGCAAATTTCATTAAAAATGAGCCAAATGCGCTTTACAAAATATCGTTGAAAGCTAAAGCCTAAAAAAATCTAAAAAACTAAAAAACTGTTCTACAAAAAACTATTGTTGACGATATCTGACGCTGATATAAGGAATAAAAATATTTAATCTCTGCTGTAAAGTTCTTTACGAACCAATAGGAAATCTGAGGAGCTGAGCGCAAGTAAAATGTCGATTACACACGAATAAGTTTCCTTCGAAGAGTTTCCACGTAACAAGTGTTATTTGCTAGTATGTTTGACCTGTAGTATATGGCAAGTTTTTTCTTCAGCGGCAACCATCCTCCGATCAAAAACCTGGTTGAGCCAGTTTTTGAAATCGAAGTAATACCCCATTCCGCAACACCAACTAAACTAATTTAACAAAATAAGGTTTAGGTTGTTCCAATTTGTCGATCACGTTTTGTAGTCATTTTGAGAAGACAAATTTCAAGCCACCTCGCTACCATATTTTAATCAAACAGGTTTTTACCTATTTAAGTTGTGGAGTCACGTGCTCGGTATGAGCAACTAATTTTTAACCTTGTTTAGCTAAACCACTTTTAAACATGTTTAACATCTTGGTGTGCTGTGAACTGAGTATAAAATGTTATCGATGTTTTCTGGATATTCCGCTGTGTATAGAGTATTGCAGCTTCAGAATTAAAATAGTCAGAGAAGTTTTTTTAGTGCTGAAACTTGTGAAAGAAAACTTAATAACGGAAACTTGCTGTTCTTTCACGCAGTCGATCAGTAAGCTTTGCAAAATACATTTATGAATATTCGTGTGTAATTCGAGGCTACGAAATGAGAGGAGAACGTTTCTGTGTGGAAACATTTTATGAGGTGCTTGTCATGAAAATACAAGCGTTTACTTTTGCTGCGCACGCTTCAAGGTCATTCCAAGACCGCTGACCAAGCGTCACACTAGGATCAAGCGAATTAGTAGTTATTTGTAATCAAACAATGGTCTCCTGTTCGATCATTTCTAGTATACATTGTGTACTACACACGTCTCCAAGTCTGCTAAGAGCCAGACAGGATATCGAACGCCTCAGAGCAAAGTTACTTGTGTCGTAAAGAGAGTTTCTCTGTCCTCCCTCGGCCCAATATGGGGTGTCCTCGAACTCTTGTTCATTGTCATCTTTCTGGCAGAGAACTTCACGGATTTCTTTAGTTTCCACTTTACTGTTCGTCATGAAGAATGGAATCAGTGACAGAGTACACGTTCCCATGGCAATGGCTCCGCCTGCCACAAAGAATGCGTTCTCATATGAACCCGACAGTTGGAAAATAAAACCTGAAAGAACGAAACACAAGATTATTAAACAACTTCCTCGAAAAAGGTTTCGTGTATTTGTCGACCGTGTGGAATGCGATACAGACAACCATTTACTACCGACTTCAGCTCTTAGAAGAGGCCCAACAAATTAGTAACTTCTCTTAGTTCCTCGGGGTACCTTCGTTCCCCCAATTTCAGTTTGTTTTAATTAACTGATGTGCGGTCACAAGGGGTTTACATGAAAGAAAATAGTTTCGACCCGACTTTGAGAGCGATCAGCATTCATTCTCTCCTAAACAAGATGTTAGTCTGCCCGAGCAACAGGATATGGGTTCCGCAGTTGAAGACGGCAGACATTTAAATATCACTGTGTTTAGGGGCTGATCACAAATTAAAGAGAGTTATCTTATCACCGGGCCAAATTATCACAGGTAGCAATCTAAAAGTTAAATGGGGTCGTTTGGCGAGTTATCTTAACTCCGAAAAACTGATGTCACATCAAACGTCCTTCCCCCTGCCCGTGGAAGGACTATGCCACTGCACGTGATATCAAGTCCACAACATGAACTGCTGACATTAAAACAAAAAAGGTTACCGTACACATACCTGTCAACGGTGGCCCAAACGTCATCGGGAAAGCCAGCACTCCATATAAGCCTCCTAAAGCTGCCGGAAGCTTTTCAGGTCCAACAATATCACTTGTAGTGATAGCAAGCAGCAACACAAAACAGCCGTCGAACAATCCAAAGAAAACGGCATACAGAACAAGACCAGTGTAGTTCTGTGCGACTGGACATAACGTGCAGGTCACTGCCATCATTAAGAAAGAGGTCTAAAATACAAGAACCAATAAGAAGTTTAGCGTCCAGCATTAAAATGTTCTCCTTGCAGGTTGTCAAGTTATTTTTCCAATGTGGACGCAACACTGAGATAAACATTTATACAAGGTCGTCAAGTGCCGACTTCAGCTTTTAATTTGACGTGCAAACCATTTTTGCTAGCCCTCATCGTCAAAAGAACTAATTGAGGCAAAAGAACCCAGTGGAAAACACGAAGCTTTGAATCAAGATTATTGAAGCTGGAACATGTTAAATTGTTTTTCGTTTGGCCGTAGTTATTTCTTAATTAATTAACAATTCGATTATGAGCTCAAGATTTCTGTGAAATTATTATTATTATTATTATTAT